GATCTTTCCCCTCAGTGATCAAGGTTTCTAGTGAGAAAGGTCTCATCAAAGTTCATGTGTCCGTGTGTGTGTGTGTGTGTGTGTGTGTGTGCACCTGCACACATGTGCATGTTGTTGATGTTATGGACAGAGATCTATGTTGAGTCTCTTCTCAGTGACTCTCCACCTTGACTTCTGAGGCATGTTCTCTCACTGGAACTGTATACGCAGAGACGCCTCCTTAGTGCTGGGTTATAGGTGCACAACACAGCACCTCACTGTTCATATGGGGGCTCGGGTTCCAAACTCAGATCTTCAAGTTTGGGCAGACAGCACTTTACCAACTGTGCCATCTCCCCAGACTTCCTTGTTGAGTAGTTCTTTAACGATATACATTTATTCTTCACCATCCTCTGGCTTCAAAACAAGAGAACCATCTGACATACAAAAATATCTGTGTTGAAACTGAATAGCCACTGGTTATCATTTTGCACTATTTTTTGAATGAGGGTTGTGCTTAGGTGTGTGTGTGTGTGTGTGTGTGTGTGTGTGTGCACATGCATGCACATATATGCTCTAGCCTTGATGGCTAGAATTCTCAATTCCAAATCACAAAATGGAGAGCTCTTTTAGTGTCTTGCAGGGCTCTGATCACATGCAAACCACATCTTGCAGAAACATGGAATTTAATGTTTTCTAGCTCTTAGTACCTACAACTCAAGATTACCTTCCTTTAAGCAAGTGATGAGTCAAGGGGATACATGCAGGTAGAGCTTTTGCTGATACATAATTCCTATTTCTTCCCAAGGCTTAGTCATATTTTTAGAACAGCAAGCTCTTCCTTGAAATCAGATAGAAGACCACAAAAAGACTATAGTTCCTTGGCCAGGCCTAATAATGATGTGCTGGCCTCATCTTCCCCAGCTGGCATTCCATCTCCACCAAGGCCCTGAATCGGGCGTTCCATTTCCTTGCATTGGAAATGAAGAAAGGGTTATAGATTTCTTTGCCCCAAAGCAATCTTCTAGAGAAAGCAATTGTTCCCTTCACATCAGTATTTTATCAGAAGCAAGACTTTAATGGAAAAATAAAAGGAAATGAATCCTGTTCTCCCAACTGCTCAGCAGGCATGTTTTCCCCCAATGGCATGTCTCTGGATCTTAAAATGTGGAGTTTTCTAAGAAGAAACTTGGTGTTTAAAGAACGTTCTTTCAAAAACACAACCTATCTTTGGTTCCATGTGTTTCCTACATGCAAATAATCATGTCAATTTTTGTCACATGCCCATCATCTTAAATGAATTTTTTTTGTTGTTTTCCTTTCTTATAGGGAATTTGTATTGACCTTACAAGCAAACCTTTCTATCCATGTGACTGAAATTTTGATACTGGGCTTCTTTCCATAGTCAAAAATCAAATAGAAAATAGCAGCCAGTAGAGAGAGCAAGCTCTTCTTGTGTTAAGCAACACCGTGACAACAGTCCACACCCCACTGTTAGACTCCAAGGGTATTCTATGTATTCATCTGCTAAGCATTTTTTAAAGCATTGCTTTTGTTTCTACAGGACAAAAGTAGCTACAGGAAAGATTAGTTTACCCAATCTTAAGATTTGCAGATACATTCAACTAGATTTCAAGATACATCACCACGATAGCAGACACTATCTTTTAGTTATACTTGAAATTATAATGTTGCAATTAAAACAGTTTGCTTCATCTCAAAAAGCAGAAACTGGGTGTCGCTTGTATTACTCCCCTCACATGGTAACACATGGTGCTGAAGAAGTTGCAAATCTTAGCACACAAATAAATGCCTTCTCCATATCACTTCCTCCACGGCACAGTAGTAAGATGGTGGAAAATGGGAAGGGCCACAATTAAACACAGACTTGATTTGGGGGAATATTTTTAAGTTCACAAATCAATGCCTTTATATAGATACATAAAGATGTTGAGTCAAATAGAGAGGTGAATCAGGCCATTCCAACTCTGACCATTCAAGATGCAGGAAAGGACTAACCCAAACTAAGCACGTTATTAAGACAGGCTCCCTAACAAGTCTCCTTTAACAACCGGAAATTAGCTCTGACTCAAACATCTTTTTAAAAACACATTCTAAATCTGCTTGCATTGTGTGAATAATGTGAAGGAGCGGGGAGCTGAGACCCTGCCTTGATAAAAACGCTGCTAGAAACTGCCTGGCTACCTCCTGAGTGCCTGAAAATGAAAGTCTCTGTGTCTTCCAAATGACAGCCACCTTGTTGTGGACCCAAAATAGCTCTCTCAGCCAGAGAGCTGCCTGTCAGTGAGCGTTCTGACAGATACATACTTGGCATTCAGAAAGAAGTCAAGAAATGGTCTCAGAAAAGAAGGTTCGGTAGAACTGTCCCTCCTGAGGAGCAAGGGATGTTTGGAAAACAATACCCCTCCTAGACACCACCAAGAGTCCAAAGACATTTCTGGAAATGAGAATTTTGAGAGAGAATGAAGCCAGGAAAGTGGATGAGAGATCCCTGTTTCCACCATTAGCTCCTGTGGGCCTTTGAAAGGCCATGACTAGATATAAAGTGCGCGGAACTGAAAGGTCCCCATTTGTCATAGGAAACAAACACACTTGCATGCATAGGATTTTCTCTCCCTCTAGTGGCGGGGTGGAGGCCTTTGAAGCTACAGCATGTCATTGCGTAATACTGATTTATACATCAGGATGAGTTTCCACCGGAGTGCACGCTGTACAGAATGTGGGCTGGTCTTTACATGGCCTCACATTCTCAATATCGATTTCAGAAACTGGCCTAATACTCTATGGGACCGTCTCCCAATTCCGTGGTCTAAGGGTGAGGTAGGAAGGTTCCCCTCTACAGTCCTATTAAAGGTGACAGCAAATGGCATTCACAGCCATCCTACTGACCAGAAAAACCACCCAAGGAGTGAGTGAGATGAGAAGGAAAAGCAAAGCCATATACAGCAAAGGTAGAAAACATGGGAACTCAGAAAGAGACCAAGGACCTAAAAAGTGATAGGAATGTGCTATAAAAGGAACTAATCAGAGATAAATTTTGAAACAATTCTCTACCTTTGTGTTCAAGTCCCTTTCATTTTCCTTCTATTTTCATCATGAGTTCTGTGAAAATATTTCTGCTGTAGCAATTCAGATTATTCATGGAAGTAGATGAAAAAGTAGAAAATATAGAAAAATTAAGTGACAATCTTTTTTAAAAAAATTGCTTTTATATGTATGTTTGAGAGAGACACAAATTGGGGAGAACTGTGTGTACGAGTCTGCAGAAATCAGAGAAGCATGTCAGAGCCTCTGGAGTTGGAGTTACATACAGTTGTGACTCACTGGACATGAGTGCTGGAAACAAACCCAGGTCCTCTGGAAGATCAGAAATTGTTCTTAACTACTGAATTATCTCTTTGCCCAGTTTAAACTTTATTTTTCCAAATGGAGGGACTATATGACGTAATACCACAATGTCTTGTGAATATTTATGGAAACAGATCATAAATCGTAGCTGTATAATTTGTAGGTCAGTGATCAATAACTGAACCAATCAGTGTGAAATATGCAGAGCATGTATCTTTTCTTTCTCTATACTCAGACACCAATGACTTCTGCTGGATTGCTCCTCTTGGAAATCTCTGAGGCAATCAAGGACCGGAGTTTGCACAGAAAATGGACTCCTTTTCTGGCTTCCTTACTTTACACTGGACACTCAGATACTTAAGTCAGAAACACAGAAGTTATGCCTCCTACTCCCCTACTTTTCGTCCCTCAGTCTTCCCTTGCACATCTGCTGGAAATAGATTTTTTTGCTTTGCCCTTCATCCCTACCTCAATACATCATCTATTTTCTAAGAATGTACCCTCTTAAACAGCACCCGCTGTCTTTTGTCAGATACATTCTCCACACTGCACTACTTCAAATATTTTTATTAGGAAAATGCTGTGGTGAATGCAGACAAGGATCTGTTGGAATCAAAGATGAACAGTAGATAGCGATTAGGTACTATGTGGAAACTTAAAATTGGATGATAAAAGTGAGGAGTATTCTAGACCAAGTTTTCAAATAAAACAAAAACAACAACAACAACAACAAAATCACCCGTAATTTCAACAAGGGATAGGAAGGATTTTGCTTGGTTTTGCCTTGCTGAGGATGGAACCCACCACCTTCTACATGGTAGGCAAACGCTGTACCACCGAGCAATATCCCTAACCAAGGATGAGTTCTGAAGTCAGACAACAAAAGAAATCCATTGAGGTGATGTTCTTTCTATCAAGGTTTCTAAACGTAATTGTTTTAGAGGCTGGCCGCGGGGGGAAAAAACAATAGTAAGTCAAAAAGCACAGAAAAGTTTAATCTAGGTTTGCCTCCGAGTACCTCTGTTTAAATATTGTGCTTTTATGCCTACGTGAAAACATCTTATTTAAAACAAACAAACTTATTTTCTGCATGTTTCTCTCCCTAAAATTTCAATTTTGTAAATAACAGCCATAGTCTTGTTTTCTACTACATCCCTGATGCCTAAGAATTGGACTAGGTCAGTAGCAGGCATGCAAAATAGGTATGGGTTGATGGACAAATAGGTGTTTGAAGCGTGTGTGCTGGCAGACAGGGAAAATAAATGTGTTTAGGAATCCAGGAAGTCTTCGTGGTGATATCAGGGTCATTTGTTTCAACTCACAGGCTTAAGCGGGCTACAAAAGCCTTGGTGAGGCTTCCTGGCCTTGGCTCTCCCTGAGCAAGCTGTGTGAACAACGCACACACGTGCGTGAACAAACTCCAAACACATGTTCTACAGCCGCAAACCTCTCCAATTCCCCGCTAGGAGGAGTCACACAGAACCCAGAAACCCTCCCACTTCTCTGGTTCTCGTCCCCGCCCCTCCCCAACAAATTTCCGGCAGCCGTTGATTTGGGTTGCCGGGAATAGTAGTCTTCCGGTCCAAGTGTACAGCGTTGTGGAGCTTTGCCAAAACTATGCTTCCCAGGCAGCCTCGCGGCCGAGGCGAGATCACCTGACTCGGGATCCGGAGATGCAATGGCGGCCTCCGTGCTGCGTCTGGGCATTCCTGGAAGACGCTGGGCTTTAGCGTGGATTGACGGCGGTTCCCGCCGCCGAAGTGGGACTCAGCCTGGGCCCACGTCCAACCGGGCTAGGGGACATAGTTCAGTGGCTCAGCTTTCCCTCCGCACGGCTCAGAAGCCGAGGAAAGGGTATATAATCTTCCTACCTTTGCCTGTCGAATGGAAGTGTGGAACGAAAGTGATGGCTCTGTAGCGCAGCCTGAGGATTTTCGTGGTAGGGAGGGTGTTCACCTGTGTAACATGGGCAACCGAAGCCTAAATGAAAACACAAAACCAGGCCTGTCACCTCCGCTCTCACCCTTAAACCTCTGTCCGAAAGTAGACGTGTTTGGACAACGTGCGAGTGTAAAGTGGCGTTTTCTCAGTCGTCTTACTAACGGGGTGGGTGGGGGTCTGCGGCACTAGACTCGGCTTGTATGTAGCAATCATTTAGCGTTACTACGGGCTAGCAATAATCTAAAGACAGAAAAAGCGTTTGTACAAAGCCACTGGAAATTTTATTAGAAAACACTAGCTGTAATTTTGTGAGGAGCGTGTTCGTCTAAACCAGGAGAATGTAGTTGACAAAGTCTTCACACTGATTATGGAAAGATTCGCTTATCCTGAACAGCTGTCGGCTGCTTTGGTCTTTTTGTCGGATGACTTAAAGCTGCCTTTAAAATACAGAAACATCAGGCAAATTTCTAATATTTTGTTGATGTTGGCATTCTTTTAGTATTTCAGTGAAGAAAAGAGGAAAAATGTTCAAAAGCATCTATCTCATTTCTGTTCTTTTCATAAATTAGACTATTTCCTTTACAGGCAACGAAACAGCAGAAATATTTTGATTGGTAATTAGAGCATGAAGAATTTTTGAATTTCTTAGTTTATTTTCTCTCACTTGTAGGAATTTTTTTCCAAAATTTAAGGAGTTTGTCTTTTCTCATTCAATGTAGAACTTCATGTATTGCTTAAAACAGAACGGAATGCATGTGAATAAGACTCTGTTTAGTATAGAAAATTGCTTAGGAGAAGTGCAGAATAAGGGACATACATAGATTTCCTGTTGGAGTAGGGAATTTTAATTCCCCAAAGAGAACTGAGTACTGGCTCACCAGAGTAGAAATGATCAGATAAGAGCCATTTATAGCATTTACCAAGATTTGGTAGCAATCAGGTGTGAACAAATGAATTTAAAATTACATCTCAAGAACTGAATGCGACTTGGAGGGTGAAAAAAGGTTTCCTCTCATGGTTTACTGTTTGTTTTACAAGTTTTCAGGAATACTATGTCGTGGTGGTCTATGTGTGACCCTGCTCCTTGTAGCTAAAAAAACTATAGTATATTCAAAATGTGCTTGATAATTTATTCTTTATCCATTTTTTTTCTCTATTTGTAGAATCCTGGCATTTGTGTTAAACTTAAATATGATAGGGGAGATAAACCTTTATCATTTACTGACTGTTTATTAACTAATAAAGTATTTACCAATAAAATGACACATTTTAAAATGTCAGCACATAAAATTTTATTTTAAAAGCACAACTAGGACATTATTATTTGAAATCTAGGTTTATAAAAGTTTACATATGGTGACAAATTAACTTTTAATCATTTTCCTTCTCTTCAGTGAACACAAATGGGCAGCTGTGGTAGGACTGGAAATTCATGCTCAGATTTGCTCCAACTCTAAACTCTTCTCTGGAGCGCAGGTGTGCTTTGCAGCACCCCCGAATTCTTTGGTTTCTTTTTTTGATGCATCTCTGCCTGGAACTTTGCCGGTAAGGTACTTTATATCATCTTTTTTTATTAGAAAATGTTTATGTCGTAGTGAATATTAACAAAGATGTCCTTATCATAGCTGGGCAGTGGTGGCACACACCTTTAATCCCAGCACTCGGGAGGTAGAGGCAGGCGGATCTCTGTGAGTTCAAGGCCAGCCTGGTTTACAAGAGCTAGTTCCAGGACAGGCTCCAAAGCTACAGTGAAACCCTGTCTCGGAAAAGATAAATAAATAAATATATAAATAAAGTCCTTATCGTAATATTTGGACTCACTCTAAGGGAATACTTGCTTAGGGAATTTTGGATTAAACATGATGCATTAATTGATAGACCTGTCTCTGTAATTCTGATTCCAAATCTGAATGTATTTGTAGCATCAACTCACTCATTTTATATGCATTTGTAAGTGCCCATCAAACACCAGATACCTATCAGAACTGTCTGATAAACATGAGCAAAGATCCTTGCTTTAGCAGGAGTTCAAAGATGAATAGATATGTCTTACAAACAAGTAGAGTATAATATGATTACTCTTGCAAAGGCAAGAGGATGGTTTGGGGACCTACAGGAGGGACAGTAAGTGAGCAAGTGGAAAGACTATTGTGAGAAATTATAGTGGTAGATTTTGTTAAGGAAGGGTAGTTGTGTTTAAGGTATTTGAGAAGTCAAATAGGAGTAGATCTATATATACATGGAGGAGTGGAGAGGACTCAAAAAAAGCCAACATGTATTATGTTTTCACAGTGGAAGATCAATAGCAATAATGGTTATTAAGAGCTAAGAAGCAGTCAGTAATGGAGTAAAGAGACAACCACAATGTAAAGGGAGCTCATTTTCATTTGATCCCAAGGAGTGACTTCTCAGAAAGACTTTTAGTGTGGTATTTTTGTGTAATGAGTTGCATTTTGAAGAATAAGATGGAAGGAGCGGTGTAAATATTTAAACTAACGTGTGGCGCACATTCTGTTCAGGAACTTCTCTGTCAAGTGAGAAGGGATGTGTAGACAAGGTGGTGACGAGTGTGTTCTGTACTCTCAGTCATCAAGCACAAGTGAGGGCAGATTGAACTACGCAGGCTGTTGGCAGTGTCTTGCACGTGTCTGTGTCTGTCTGCTTTACTCAGAGCTTTGATTGGATGAAGGCAGTATCTCAGTTCTAGAACTTTGTTCTTCTTTGTGCTTTTCGTCATGAGGAGTCCCATCCATCCAAACCATGCCCCTGGCCACTCCTCATTTGCTGTTGGGTCCCTCTGAAGGAAACCAGACACAGACTTGTATTGTGTGCCTGTACTCTCCTCCTCTCCGGTTCTCTTACAGTGCCTGTATCTCAGGGAAGAGTTCTTATTTGCCTGAGAAGAGACACCTTCGAAGCATGCTTGCCTTTTCCCTTCTGAGGTGAAAGCCTATTTTCCTTATGTGGTAGTTGACCGTCAAGAGTCTAGATGTAAACTTTTGAGTTTTGTCAAGTTTCTTCTTTTTCCTCATTTGGGAATGTGATATCTATTTAGAGACATATGTTTGGAGTTAGGCACATTTTCTGTAAAGAGACAACAGAGTCATCAGCTGTACCAGAATATAGTCAAATATTAGAGACAGATCAAAATAGCAAGTGAGCATATTTGGAAAGCCTTGTTGTTATGTACGCTAGAAAGTTCTTGGCTCTGTGATGAACGGGTCAATAAAACAGTGAGTGCATTGAGAACATGTGAACTGAGCTTGAGAAAAAGGCGACAGTTACAGTTTGCATAAGCCAGGGTTTGTTTCTCTTCATCAGAGCCAGCAGCATTTGTGGCCCAGTGGTCTCCAGGGATGCTCTTTTCGGCAGGGCTGATCTGCCTCCTCTTCTGAAATGTCCTTTTTAAAGGACCCGTTTTAGTCTGTAAGCCAAGGAATGTGGCCTGAGATACCAAGTAGAACATATCATTCCTCTCTTCTTTGCCCGTCATTCAATTTAAAATGTCCTAGAACACTTCTTTGAGCCCCATGGACACTGTTATATTCTGATGTTTTTACTCTACATCTACATAAATGATTCATCAACATATTAAAATATAGCATGTATTTTGTTGCTCTTGTTACTCTTCCCCCATAAAGAATAAATCAGTCAGCAGGTCAGCAGGGGAAAGCATCTCAGAAATGGATGTTAAAGAGAAGAATGTGTACATGAGGGTGTATGTATGCCACGTACACACAGACACATACATACAGACAGACAAGAAAGAACAAAAGTCATTGGGAAAAGAATGATTTTCTTATTGATGGTTTTGGAAAAATTGGTTCACTATTTAGAGAATATATATGTAGCTCCTGTGCATAAAACAAAATTTGTATATATGTATTTTTTTTTTTTTTGTTTGTTTGTTTTTTTGCTTTTTTCGAGACAGGGTTTCTCTGTGGTTTTGGAGCCTGTCCTGGAACTAGCTCTTGTAGACCAGGCTGATCCCGAACTCACAGAGATCCGCCTGCCTCTGCCTCACGAGTGCTGGGATTAAAGGCGTGCGCCACCACCGCCCGGCTGTATATATGTATTTATATATGTGATATATATACAACATATATAACATTATATACTATGCTTAGCTTGTAAATGTATATATGATATGATATAAGATATATCAATATATTTACAGGTTAAATGTAAAATTAAATCACAAACAAAATATAGGCAAATACTCACTTGTTATTTGGATAGGAAGATATTTTATAAGCATAAGAGTAAGAAGAAGACCTCATAAGACAAAATTATATTGCTTTGTATTTTAGTTATCTAACAAGTATTTATTGACCCACTGGCTCTTTTAGGAGTCTGTCTTAGGAAAACAGTTTTTTGGAAAGTGAGTAAAGACTCATCCTCAGAGATGTCTACAGCAGGACTGTTTGTAATAATGTGAATTTGGAAGCACCCAGAATTTCCCCTGTGGTGGGGGAATGGTTGAGTAAATTGTGATACATGTATATAGTGGAGTATTATGAAGCCACTAATAATGTTTATGAAAATGTTTTAGTGACATAGAAAACCGCTAAAGGTAAAAATTTCATTGAGATAAGCAGAATATATTTGTAGATAGGTCACTTAATATCTTTTGCCTCAGTTTCTTACTTGCAAAGTGAGGATAATAGACTCATTGGATTTTTATGAGAATTAAATTAATAAACTCTTTTAAGATGCTTAGTCACTGCAGTAATAAGTGTTTCATAAATCTAACCCATTAGTGTTACGTAGTGACTGGTGACTTGCGTCTTTACAAAGAGTCCCTTGAGTTATTAAGCACAATTTTGTTGCCAGTGACAGCAAAAGTAACGGCTACAGACAACAGTTGCTATCTTATTTGCATTTTATCAGTTCAATGTTCTAAACCACGAAAATAATCCAGGGCCCCATCACCACAGATACACTGAAAATTGTGGAAGCTATAATAGTATAGTGGATAAAGTCATTTCTCAAAAAATACTTCATTTGCAAAAAGAAGGTTGCTATGTTTTATTTTAATGTGTCATTATAAATAAGAGATTGCTTTGTCCAGAAAGCAGTGATGGGTCATTTCAGAGAGACTAAAGTCTTTTTCTGGAGAACTCATTTGGTCTGTGTGTGATTTATTTTGCCTGCTGACCTCTTAAAAGAGATGCCTATGATTACAGAACCCACAAGTGGCTATAAGAGACGTAGTGCTTTAAAATATTTGGGGAGCAGTCAGCAAACACTGAGTGTATTCAGAGTGCATGGCATTCTCCTGATTTTGTGCAGACAAGACTTCTTAAATTGTAATGCGCTCTTCCCTTTGGTTGCCTTCATTCTTTCATTCAGCTGAAGTTCTTTTCCTCTCTACCAAATGCCAGCCCTGTACTAGCTCTAGAGACAGCTGTGAAGCAGTCACCTTGCCCTCATAGAGCAAGCCAGCACTGTGATAGTGCCTGCTAGTACACGTGTAACTAGTGGAGATGGAGTGTGCTTGAGGAAAACATAGGATGGGCAGCCATAGTATAAGGAGTTTGTAAAACTAAGGAAAAAGTAAATGCAATGTACGGATGTGTGCTGGCTAGTTCTAGATCAGCTGAGAAGTGGGAATCTCAGCTAAGAAGAGACCTCCTTAAGGCTGAACTGTGCACAAGCCTGTAGAACATTTTCTTAGTTAGTGTTGATGGAGTAGGGCCCATCCCTTATCTGGTGGTATTGGACTGGTGGCCCTGGGTTCTTGAAGAAAACAGACTGAGGAGCAAGCCTTTAAGGAGCACTCCTCCGTGGTATCAGCTCCTGCCTCCAGGTTCCCGCTCCGTTTGAGTTCCTGCCTTGGCATCCCTCAATGAGTTGAGGATATGTAAGTCAGATAAACCTTTTCCTCTCCGAGTTGCTTTTGGTCTTAGTGTTTTAGCACAAAAATAGTAACACTAACTAAAACTGGAGGCCAGAAGAAAACGGGGTATGACTAGCACTAGGGATCAGGACATGTTCCATGTGCCACCAGCAGTGAGTAGCACTGATGTCTGTCCTCTGACCTCTAGTGCTCATTGATACCTCATGTTTGCCCTTTTATTTCAGAAGTTCAAGTGACCTGGTTTGTCCATCTTTCCTCTTGCCTTCCTTCCCCAGACAAGAATCTGTGATGATGGCTATAGAGAGTGTGTGCCAGAGAAAGGACTTTCAGGTTGCTGATGTTGCAGAGGAGTGCAGGTCTGTCTCCCAGTAAAAAGAGGCCACAAGTCTGCCGGCCCTGGAGAGTCACAGAGAATGAGCACGTGACTAACTCACTTCAAAGTGTAGCTCGACAGCCACAAACCACCAGACAGCATCATGGACAGAGGTCTTAGTGGAAATGAAGTTAAACAATCTAGGAGGGAGTAGATAATGAGAAAAAATAGAAAGATTGAAAATATCCTCAAAAACTTTTAGTAAATAGTATCTAAGCTATAAGAGTAAAAATGAGCTCTCAAATTTAAAATTATGGTGCCTCTGTCCCCGACCCCTCTCTCTCTCACACACACACCACTACCACCACCACT